GGGCACTATGCGCTCGTGCCCACGTAGTGCACGCTGAAGGGCATCGCTGCTGGCTGTCTGCGAGGCAGTCGAATGGGTTATTGTTGCATGCGAGAGTGGCAGGCTGCCCTCTATTATTCAGAGCCAGGGCCCAAGCAGGCGTTCGCATGGGGAACGCGTCTTGAAAACCTTACGTCATTGCTATCTACGGCTCCCGAGCGCAAGCAAATGAAAGGGATCATTTTTTGTTGTTGGCTAATTTATTTATTGATTGACTCGATCCTTTAATAACCTGTGTAGCTAGCTGCTACTTTAGTTTGTGTTGGTGCGGACAGGAATAAAGATAGATAATTACGATAGGCAAACCTTTATTTCTATTTCTATATATATTTAAAGCCCTTGGTCAAGTCACTGCAAGATGACATTGCTCATGGGGGTTGTTTGACCAAGAGAGCCTGCCAATGATGTTGGTCACCATTGGGAGTCGAACTCAGGTGCTAGCCACTGCTTTACCATTCCCTCACACTCTATGTCCCTGAACGTTATGATTGGGATAAGCGTATCCGAGAATAACATAATTGACAGTCCATAGTCAATCCACTGCTGGATGACGGCCTCTTAAGACCTTGAGCAATAATTGCGAACGTTGATAATTGTTTTTTTACCCTTTTATCTGGCAACAAAACTGACACCTTTTTTGTGTCAGTATTGTTGCCATATAAAAGGGTAAAAAAACAATATCATATTTTTTACTGGCAAATGAGGTTCCAATGGTGTAATTGCAAACGTTATTCGTTGATTCTTGCGTAAGTAGTTTTTTTTTTTGTCAAGGAATGAAATGTGTATTTAAAGTAAAACCAGCGTCGATGATCACGATCGTGCGTGCGATCGCCCTGGACCATAACACCGCACGACACGTTGCTGGTATCACGACGATGGCGGTCAGCTGCATGCAGCTAGGGTCTTTTAACCACCACAGAGGGACTATTGACGGTGGCTTCTTCGGCAGCGTGCTTTGTATGACAACCATCATTTTATTGTTGTTAAACTGTCGCATTCAGTCTTGCAACGCAACAACGCAAGAAAGTGGCGATGAACCGGTGCTAGCATGTATTCCGAACGTCGATGACACCCTTGTTGCCAGTATTGAGATCATACCGGTCGTGAGAAATGGGAGTACTGCACGCATTGCAGACGCTGCCTGTCTCTCCAGTCGACAGGGCTAACAAGGTACGACGAGGGGAACTTTTAAACCGGAGCACGTCCTCGACTGTTGCCAACTCGATGGACGCATTTGCGTCGCTCGGTTGCAGCGGGTCGACGATCCGAGGATGCTGTTGAGATTCATATTCTTGGTTTTTTTCGGTAAAGTCACGTTGGTCACGTTGGTGACTAACCCAAGAATATGAATCCTTGCAGTCACGAAATGCTTCAAATCTAGAATGCTGTTGAGATGTCGCTAACGCAGGAAGTACAAGCTAAAGCACTTCAGGGAGCGCGCGCATACGGCAATTGGAACAGATTGTAAATGACTCGAATGTAATCGTTTTGTTGGTTTGTTTCATAATAACTTTGGCTATTTTGTCATTTTTGTTCCACAACTGTGCTCGTCGGCGTTACGTCACGAGATAAAAGCATCGGTTTGCAGCTCTGTCGGGCGTAACGCTTCATCTGTTAGAGAATGGCCTGCCGAAGGATGATATCACAGAACTAACTAAACATTTTTTTTTATTTTCACCAGGTAAGACCCACCGAGCTTTGTTTTGTCCAGAAGCGACCTGGCCACAAGTGACAGCTCAACGGAGTGGCATGTCACGTGGGCATTTATAGCAGCGAAATACTCTAAACTGCGTGACACTGATTCTCAACGTGGAGGGGTGAAAGCGGAGGGGACCTGGAGAAACTGCTTCTGAGATCACTTCACGGCGCCTCTTTAATCCACGCATCATGCGGCAAACTTGCCCCACAAATGCCCTTACTACACACAGAGCAGTGTCCGATCCTCAATGTGGAAGTCAATCTGATGTCATTGTTAATTCGCGCAGCTGGAATTTAGCTATATTAAGTAAAAAATAAATGTATTCGACGTGAGCGGGGGTTTTTTTGGCGTAGATATTTATTTGATGGGTGTTAATGCCATCAAATTGCTACACTTAGGACGCGGCTTCATCATCGGCGGCTTAAATCCAGATGCAAACCCAGGATGTCGGCAGTGCCGACTCATTGCTGCCATCTCTAAACCACCCAGCTGCATCTTCAACTTCGCCGTGTATGCCATCTGTGCCAAATAATGTCGAAGCGTTAGCCATGAAAGCCTCGCTCAGTCTGAAGACTCCTTATTTCAGGAGGATCCTGCATTGCGATGTTTGACCAATGTCATAAATTGAGTTTGGACGTAAATCAAAAGTGCCTGGAGAAAGTCAGACACACGGAGGTGGGGGGGAGGTAAACACTCTACATTCCCATATCCTGGTCACCTCTCAGGCACACACACAGCTACAACACCGAGCAAATCCCTGCTGCTCACGTATCTAAGCACCGAACCGCGCTGCAACCTCGCTTCAGACTGTGAGATTTGATAATATCGGCTGCGATTTTGGGGCAATTTGCCAAATCGGTGCGTAACCATCCTGGGGCATCTCCCGTGTGAGAATCCGCGCACGGAACGAACAACATCCGTGGCCGCGGTGCTTTATGGGCAATCCTCATCCAATCCCCTCCCCCCACCTTGGCCGCTGATATTTAGACATCGAATCGTCCAGTTTTGGAGGAGGTGACCTCGTGAGCGCACAGAGTTCATTTGTACGGAGAAGGAAGGGTAGGGCAATGACGTATTCTACGTAGATTGAGTGTGCCCCCCCCCCCCATTGTGATCGCAGCTTGCACACACAGTCGAAGCATTATTCTACCCCCCATGCCCCCCCCCCCCCATTATTTATTGGTCCCTTTTCCGTTTCTCCAACTCAATTCTGATCAAGGACCACATTCACATTTTTCCCCAGCCACTTCCTCTGATTACATTTCTGGGGAGTGCACGGGTTTGGCGCACGTACACACGCGCGCGGGCACATGCACACACACACACACGCACGTACACACACGTACACACACGTGCATGCGTGTCTATACCAATACCCGCCATTCGCAACTAAGTGACGGTGACATCACCACAGTCGCCTGTGCCAGGCCAGGTGTGTACACGCATGCATGTACGCATGCACACACGTGCACGCATATGCACGCACTCACATGCGTGCACGGGTATGCACACGAAGAAGCATACACTAACGTGTCAATGTAAGCGCGCACGTGCATAAACGCGCACGCGCAAACGCGTGCACAAACGCACGTGTGCGCACAGATGCATAGTCGCACGCAAATGCATACCTAAGCATACGTGTACCAAAAAAACAAAAAAACAAAGATCATCCAAGTTCTGTTAGCGAGCACCTATGAAGGCCGGAACGGCAAACGAGGGGGTGGGTGACCAGCACCACGCCCGACCGCCTTTGTCGCCCCCAGTGGCGATGTTTACACACCGCACCAGGTACTCATTTGAGGCTGAGTCGACCTAGGGGAGGCCCAGGACCGGTTCAGATAATCGCCACCGGTGTTGACCGTGAGTGGGAATCGAAGCCGGGTCGCCAAGTTCATAGCGCAGCGCACTAACCGCTACACCACCGCTCCCCAAATCTGTGTACCATGCACATACCCACCCCCGCCCATCCCCTACGAACAAAGACAACGATCCCACATGTAGTCTTAGCGGATTCTTGGGGCGCGTGTTGTTAGTGAGCACCTTTGACGGCCAACACGGCACACGAGGCGCTGGGTGGCAACCACCAACAGAAATGTTAGCCGCCAAAGAAATACGTTTAAAAAATTGGACGCAAAATCAAAAGCTTTGATTCTCAGGTGGTTGTGTTGTTTTTTTTTCTGCTGGAAAGATAACACCGTTGCGAATACCTCGAGCAAGTTTCATGCTTGTATCACAATTTGAAAGATTCCTGTAAAAAAAATTTGCACTTATCTGCTCCACTATGCGAGTGCCAAGGCCATCGTGAGCGGAGCACCTGGTAAGCTGATGCAATGGACGAACCCACGCAATGTAATCTACTCAGACAGCTAATGCGAGGGCAGGTCCAAAATATTCCCTCCCTCTAGCGCCCGATTGGTGTGACTTAGATGCTTGTGGTGAGAGATACATATCAAGTGTGGGCCGTGTTGAAGTCATAGACCTCGAGTGGCGACGAGAAACGTAGGCAATGTAGATGTTGTTTGCACCCTTGGGCAATGTGAGTCACCAGCCGACATTGCTTGCTTTGTGAACACAACTGTTCGGCCACGCATGCAGCCATCGCCTGCTCCACCCATTCCGCGGCACTGATGGTCATGCATGTACACGTTGAACTTCTTTCGTGCCGTACGTAGCGATCACGCGGGGGGAAGGACAACAAACTAGACGTACAAAAAGCATTTCTAAAGAAATGAACTTTCAATTGAGACTTAAAAAATGTACCCGTAAAAACAAAGTTTTTCACTATAAATCCTTTATATGCGTGTTCAATGGGCCACAATCCAGCCCACATTGGTCTTTGAAACGGGCGGCTAGAGTCCTTTCGTCCTCTGGCTTGAGATGGTTGCCACCTATGGGTCAGATGATTGCCTGCCACCATTAAGCAATTGGTAATTAAATATAATTTTTTTTCCTAACAAGTGTAAAATTTTGGACATTTTCTTCACGAAAATAAATTGTCACGCACAATGAGTCTGTGTGCAAAATGTCAGCTCAATTGGATCACGGGAAGTGGGTTTAAAACGACTGAAAGATTTGCACGTCGTAAGCGCGCAAGCAAGCAAGCAAGTGAACTTAATATAAAGGATTTAAAAATACATCGCTCCAGCGACTTCCATGGGCCGTATGAAACGAAACCCTCGGCCCACTTTACAGGCGGTGGGCCTGAGGTTACCCACCGCTGCCGTCGAGCAAACACCAGACCAGCACCCCTGCGGTCACGTACCCACGCAGTTGAAGTCCTTCTCCAGGCGACAGAACGCAGAGCAGCCGTCGCCGTCACGGACCCCGCCATCGTCGCATTCCTCTCCATCGGACCTGAGTAGGGAGAGTGCGATGCCCGGTGTTCCCGTGAAAATCACCACCACAAGACACGATAGCTCATGCCTCTGGAATCGCCAGAGTCCACGGCGTCGGTGATTGTTTCCCGGTGATAGGATGATGTTAGACGGCGTAAATCCGAATACCAAAATAGAATGCAAAAACAGAGGTGACGGAGCTCACCATGTCCACCGTGCCGGTCACCGCAGAAGGCCGCGCCGTGCCGATGAACGAGCGGAGGTGAAAACTCGGAGAAGCCCGAACCGGAGAGAACGCGAACTTGGTAGGCGTAGACAGCTCCCTCCTCCACGTCCCTAGCGCAACATTCACGGTGACACCTCCGATTAGCACGGCTGGCTGCGTACGGTGTGAAAGAAGTTCAACAATCGTGCAGTATGAATAAAGCTTCTGATTCTGACATTGTACTGTAATTCACGTTATTTTTTTATTTTTTTATATGGTAAAACCCTGTCCGTTTTCAAATCGTCATAGCCAGCCATTTACTCCCCAAATATATCCACGAACACTTTACACGATTGTCGTTGTGGTTTTTCAGTATCACCTTGTGGGGAAGTCAACAGTGGTTGCCCAATGGAATAAGTCTTCCCCCACCATAGGAATGTGGAATTTCCACCACTGGCTCAGAACTGTAAACGGGATATGATCACAGCCGCAATGCTCCTTTGAGCAGTTAATCACTTTGACTTTCATATTTTTTGGGGGGGGAGATCGTAAATTATCTCGCTTCTGCCTCCCTCTCTTCTCTCATCCCTCACTGTATCGGTGACCCCACTCACACACTCTGCTCCAGCGATCCAACCTCTGAAGTGCAGGAGGTCATTCCTTCTCTTCTGCTGTCCTTAGGGGCCTGGGAACTCCCTCTGCTGCCCCTGGTATCATCCAATTGCTGACACTGAGGTAGAATTTGCGACCTCCTTTATATAAAATCGATTTTTGTGTTTAGTTTAGTGTGTTGTTCCTTCCCCCGCGCCTCCGATTAGCACGGTCGGCTACGTACGGTGCGAAAGAGGTACAAAATTACTCGCACGTAACGTGGGAAGATGAAAGCGATCTCAAAATAGCAGGAGGGGGAATAGCTGCATGTATATGCATTGCCTTGAGTGTTTGTAATCATTACTCCGCTGGTAAAAGCAGGGAACTTTAACGTGTCGGCAGAAAACCTACGCATATTGCAGGACAGTTACTTTCAAGAGAGGCAATCCTTGAACAAACCGGGGCAGGTGGCAATGCGAGTTTGTGTGGAGGTGGCTGGCGTGACAGCCATTCTGGGCTCAAAGCCAGGAATAGAACACGGGTTTCTTCCTGCAACTCTACTGCAGAAACCACTCCTGCCTGCCACACCGCTCGAGACTGTTGTATGGCCACCCTTCTATCGCTACGACCACGCTTATTTCCGGTTAACGGACGAAATACGTTACAAAGAGGCTCGCCACAAATGAACCACAACTCCTCACCGATCTCGTCAAGGAGGGTAAACCGCCACGGCTGTTGGCAAACCGTCGAACAGAGACGTCACCGCATCGGGCGCTTTCAGATGCGCTTCTTCGGCTGTCTGGAACGCGCTTCCCTCCGATATCAGAAATCCACTGGAGCGGATGCGCTTTAAATCATCTAGATTGAAAACTAATTTCTATAGAACTGCTTTTTGTGTTTAGTTTGTTGTACTTTCCCCTGCAGCTCCTGATTAGCACGGTTGACTACGTGCGGTGCGAAAGAAGTTAAACTTACATACGTATTGTTCCCGTGAACCTCACTCATTGATTCTTCCACAAATGTTGAGGAATTAGTCTACCAGACACTGACTGTTTCATCTCGGCCATACTGTGTTCAACGTCCACACTGCCGGTCACACCAGCGCACTCGCCCACTCACTCACCGCGCTCAATCTGCTCCCCTTTGGAATTCTCTCCCATCGTCTCTTTTTGCCCATGTTCTTAATAAATAACCTTACGTTCAAGAAACGTATCAGCTCATATGCATTACACCTTCATCCAATACAGCAGAGCTGGTTGTTGCTTGGTCCATGGCGATTTTTGCGTCATTGGGCCTGTGTTCAGGAACTGTAATAAAAAAAAAAACTGAGCACATTCAGGGTGATTTGGTGGTTTTTTTTTCTCCAAACGGCTACGGTCAACATCAGAGAAAGCCTTGAGGCTAATGCTGCTGCTGCTTCTGCTGCTGATGTAGGTGTCTTTGGAGAGCTTGCCCTGGGTCAAAGCCATGCCTCCTCCCTACGTCAAAAGCAGGCCTGGTGTGAGGGGCCATCCATTTAGTACGTGCGCATGGAGGGGGTGGGGGGGGTTAACCCAAATGCGTAGCTTGCGTATGGGGAGTCTACTGACAATGTACGCATATGAAACGGGGGCGGGGGGTGGTGAAGCCTCGATAATAATTTGTCTACATTGGCCTTCAAATGAGCCACAGTTCAGTTTCTTCAGCTGTCAGACAACAAGTACTACCGGGAGACGTGGGACTGTGGGAGAGGTGTCACTTGTGTGCCACCGTGCCCCTGAGTGCAGCTAGCACGCAGCTTAGCAAAATAAGTGGCCAAGGTACGCAACTTAATTCTTTAATACAGCCGGCGGTGGACTATCTGTTTGATTAAACACGTTAATATTATTAATCCTTGATCGTTTCTGCGTGGATTAAAAATCGGCCGTTCTATAGGATTGGGGTGGGGGGGCGGGGTGCGTCAGGCATACGTACGCAGGTTGGGGGAGGGGGCAGTGTAACAAGTCCGCGTGCGTACAGGGAGGGAGGGGGGGGGGTCAAGTTTTTACAAATTTTTGCTTACGTACTCAATGGATGGCCCCTAATGGGTGATCAGAGTGGCTGTGGGACCTTGCTCTTGAGTCACTTCGCTGAGTGGCCGGGGCTCAATTGAAACTCGCAACACCGTCCTCGTAAAGTGGCTTCGATGGTTTCCTGTAAGGGCTCATTGTTCAATGTGAAATGCCCTACAAACGGTCGAGGTGCAGCCGCTTAGGATTGCTCAGCTCACAACGCTGCCGGAGAAAGGGACCTCTACTTGAGGGAGCTCCAGAGACACCCTCTACCACAGGGTACATATATATTTTTGGCTACTGCCATTCCATGCTGACCAGACGTCTGGGAAGTGTGTGGCAGTGCCCACAGTTGATCGCACCACACCGTGACCTGCTCATCGACTGACTGCGGCTGCAACCCATTTATGTAGCCGAATGGACAGAGGCAGAGATATTTAAGAAACTTTTGTGCCATTGATGAAACCGCCCCACCAAGGGGCATTGAATCGAAGTGGTGTCCTATGGGTCGCGAGTCCAGTGTGCTCACCGTTGCACCACGGCAGATAATGCTCGTAATTGTGACGTTATTTTGTTCCGGCACTTTTTGTTGTTGTATTGCCCCGTGCCTGTTACGCGGACGTGTTTCACGACCTCCGTTAGGCTAGTTTGTGCCTGTTTTACGATCTGCTCTGGAGCAATGTGGTTCTCAAGACACACATTATTTTTTTTAATACTAATATACTTTGGATTGTGCTCCCAAGGCTATGTTTTATTGGCGAGGGCCTTGTCGTGACAGTAATTTGTTTTGTAATTGGGAATTGTTTTGCGTGAGTAATATGGGATTTTGGGATTTGAGGACATAGTTCGTTCCTGTGGCCTTTAAATGTTTAATCTGCTGCGATTTAGATTAGAGTTTATTGTCGGAGCAATCATTCAATTTTTGTGACGCACTCTTCGAAGCTTGAGTGGACATTGATGATGTTGATGATGAAGACTATTATGATGATGACGATAATGATGATTATATATAATTAAAAGCTCTTAGTGACGTCACTCACAAAACAAAGTCAGACGCGAAAATGATTTACTGCTCGGATGTGTGGTGAGTTGATGCTCATCTTCCGTTTACAGCCCTGAACCAGCGGTGTATATTTCACATTATCATGGTGGGGGCATGTCTATCCATTTAATGTAACTTAACTTATCAATCCCGGATGGATAATGTAATTGGCTGATTCAACCGCCTATCAGGATTTCTAAAACCACATTGTATTGCACGAACTCGCATAGAATCCCACTCACATGGTGACCCATAGACTCACACGGAGAATTACATGGAGACTAATAGACTCACATGGAGACTCATAGACTCACACGGGGACTCATAGACTCACACGGAGACTCATAGACTCACACGGAGACTCATAGACTCACACGGATACCTAAGACAAACATGGAAACTCACACGGAGACTCATAGACTCACATGGAGACTTACATGGATACTCATAGACTAACATGGAGACTCATAGACTCACATGGAGACTAATAGACTCACATGGAGACTCATAGACTCACACGGAGACTCATAGACTCACACGGAGACTCATAGACTCACACGGAGACTTACATGGATACTCATAGACTAACATGGAGACTCATAGACTCACATGGAGACTAATAGACTTCACACGGAGACTCATAGACTCACACGGAGACTCATAGACTCACACGGAGACTCGTAGACTCACACGGAGACCTATAGACACACATGGACACTCACACGGAGACTCATAGACTCACATGGAGACTTACATGGATACTCATAGACTCACATGCAGTCTTAACGACACATATATGGTGAGATCACGACATGGCCTAACCTAAAATTAAATTACAAATCATCGTAGAATTTGTACATATATTCATCCATCGACTCACCCGTCCGTCCGTCCATTCATTCATGCCCTCCCCCCCCCCCCACAGTAAGGGCGTTGGCCTCCACTCACCTGTCCACAAACTCGCGGTGCAGGTCTGAGACCATCGACGGCCACCGCCCCCTGAACGGCGGCTCGCGCGCCACCTCGTACCGCAGCGGGCGGCACCGGCGGCACAGCTCGCTCCGGGGCCCCGAGCTCAGCGCCGCCGCGTCCACCTCCAGCTTCTCGTCGAACGTGTGCAGCCTCAGCCCGGCGATCGCGGGCTCCTCGGCGCCGCCAACGGCCATCGGCGGCACGCGAACCGTGAGCGGAACGTCGCAGGACACCTTGTGCGGCCCCAGCGAGACGGCGGTGCCAGTTGGCGAGCAGCAGCACGAGGTCGTGGACGGTGTGGCCGCTGCGCGCGCTCACGTAGGTGACCCAGAGCGTGACGGAGGTGGCGGGGGTCGGGCGGCAGAAGGAGAGCTTGAGGGCGCAGCCGCTGGGCGGCAAGGGGCACGGCACGGACAAGGTGCCCCCCGGGACGCTCAGCTCGGGGCTCCAGGTACGCAGGCTCGCGTCGCAGGGCGTCTCCACGTCGGGCGGGCCTGCTCGCGGGACGCACGAGGTCGTGCGCGCGTCAACCTACCCGCATGCCAGCCGCCGTCGCTGCCGTCGTCATTGTCAGCGATGCTAGTGGTCGTCAGTATGCGGCTGTGGTGAAGAATGCGTGGCTCAGCGGTAGAGGGGAGCGGCTGGCGGCAGCAATGTTGCGAGTTCAAATCCTGGCAGTGGATTGACTCGAACCCATCATTCCTCTCGGGTCGATAAAATATGTACCGCAGACGAAATGAGTGGGGAATTTAATAGTGGACGTCCCGTGGATAGACCCGCCCCCGCCATAGGAACGTGTAATTTCCACACCAGCTCAGGGGTTGTGAATAGGAGATGAGCATCACAGGAAATCCCTGCGAGTTGTTCTATTCATCAATAATTTATCATCGTAATCTTGGCTCAGAGGACCCAACAATGCAACGTGACCGTGACTCCTATCAGTTGTGTGTGTTGCTGTGAACGTCTTCAGCCCATTAGCTTATCATGCATAATGATAACAATGATGCCATCTGACCACATCGCAGATTAAAAGTAATATTTTCACGTCATTTAATGTAATAACAACCTCCGAGTAAATTCAAAGCGCCATTGAGATTAAGATATAACAACCGTTAATACTGTAGACTCAGACATATTTTTTTATATAATGGTTTAACACAGTTTTGGCTCGCCTATGTTTTATTTGGCATTTCATCACTTTTCATGTCTCGCTAGTTTTTTTTTGCTGTTGTTTCAAATGAACTCTGCCTCGCACCCCGCTCTCAAGACGCTGGCCATTACAGTGTCATTCACTCTTGAAGGTGGCAGCAATCCATTTAATCCAGTTACTTCCCCTTGGACGGTACTGTTGCACAGAGCCAAGACAACGTTGCCCTACTTGTTGAGCTGTATCCTTTACTTAATGTGCGCTGTCGAGTTCATGAAATACGGAGGCAAGCGAGAGCGGTGCTTTTGCAGAAATGTACTTTAATAAAAATGAGAAACGAGGTTTTTGGGTTCGATCGCGTAAATATAAATGTGTCGTTGAACCCGCCACAACATTGTGGGTTTACTCTCCAACACACCGGTGTGCTGTACTAGAAACGAATTGGCCACGTTATGTTTACGTGACAAACCTCACTAATTTGCTGTGTCGGGTGGTGGCTGGTTAAACGACGTATTTAAATTTACGTGACCTAACCAAAAAAACTATTTCATGGATAATATTAGTCGCGAAAGCCGAAGTGTTACACTGACAATCGCACACGATTATAGTCCTGTGTACGATGGTAATATGATCAGGAGCTAAATGTCAATATCGAGTTATGCTCGCCATGACGAGAGGGTTTCAGGAGAGAGTTTGTGTAGTTTTGCTGTTCCTCCTCTGTTGCCTTACTATTTGGGTCCATAGTTTGCTTGCATTGCCACAATTGCACAACTGTGGCTTGTCTTTAATTCAACATTCACGGGAGATGGTAGCCTCCTCATGGTGGTTCCGTCTGCTGTGTGTTTCCACGTTGTCTCAAACGCAACTAATACCGTCATCTTGACGAAATGGCCGTCGTCAATTTAATTACAGATGTTGCATGCAAAGACTACGGATAAGAAACGCGAATGCTGACAAAGAAAATGGAACAAAGGTTGAAAAGTACACAAAGAGGCACTGAGAGAGAGAGAGGCACGCTGGTAATTTGACAAACGGAGGAGCAGATGGAACAAAAACGCAAATTGGAGACATCAAATGAAGAGTAAGTGAGCCGAGGGCAGGACGCTGTGCCGGGGGGAGGGGGGTGATAACGGACGGACGAAGCAGGTGACAGAATGGCAGACAAAGGAGGGAATACGGACCGCCATGGAGATGGAGCGATGAGACCAGCTCAAGCGCAGGCGCAAGATGGATTGTGGCGTTGCCGGACCGTGAGCGGTGGCGACGGCGTGGGGAGGCCTTCATCCAGCAGCGGAGAAAACATGACTGTTTATGATGATGATGATGATGACTCTGCTTAAACACATATATTGAATTCCACACGCCTGTAAAGGTTTTAATGAATCTTACATACGTATAAATACGTAAGCGGATCGTGTAAATTACACATAGGCATATTGACGAAACATTACCTTGTTACGGTTTAACAATAATAAGAATATGTTTCAGCCCTCTGTGGAGTTATTGCTGGATGAAGGCCTCCTCCCATGCCGTGTGGAGATTGTTTTCCCTTTCCAACTTTAAAATACAACTGGGCGTGAACAAACGTCGGCAGTTTTATCCGTGTAGCTTTCAATGCTTCAGACTTATATATCCCCTCCATAAACGTAACGGATTTATTTCGTTTCATATCGTGCAAATAATTTATACGTGCGCACCACTTTCCGCCTTATTGAGCGATCCTCTCCAATAAAAGAAGATCATTCACCGCTCTCCGACCCACGATTTTTTTTAAATGCCTCATTCCATTAAAGCGGAGCAACTTACTCCGCGCGGCGCGCGGATATTTTGTTTACAAATGAGCAGCCGGCGTCTCGCGCCAAGCCCCATGAGAAATGAGCGACGTTGTCCTCTGCCGTTGAGACAAAGGGCCGTGACCTCTGACCTTTTGCCCTGCGGAGTTCACACATCCCCCCATCCCTCCCCACCCCGTCTACAGCTCACCATTCGATGGTAGCAGACGGAGCCTGCTCGTCGCCCCTTTGCGCTCTGCCGCTGCACGTTTGTTCCTCAAATGATGCTACTTCATCAAATTAATACAATTTAAATCTTTAAGAGTCTAAGTGATGCCCTGCTCAAATGAGGACTGATGGTGGTGCTCATTTTCTGAGCGTGTGGTGGACATTTTACGTTCATATGGAGAGGGCGAGTCTATCCATATTGCAACCACCGTTGATCTCCTCGCAAAGTTGTATCTATTTTATCGACCCCGTGGGGGGATGATGGGCTAAATAGACCTCCGAACCAGCATTTGATCTCAACAACCTTCCAATTGCCATTCGCTTTATCGCTCCATACAAATGAACGGTCATCGGTAAAAAATATGGGGGGGTGGGGGGGAAGGGGGAGGAGGCGCGGAGGGTGGCTAGAGCGAGTCGAAGCAGACTGTGCGTATATCTTTTTTTGCTGATACACCCGCAGTATTAACCAGGGCAGACGCTGGGTTTGAAACCGCGAACCTCTGCAACGGCCAACTAGACGTGGAACGTTGGGCCCACGCTGACGCCGCGTGTGTCGCCGGGGCGAGGGGGGGTGGCGATGCTCGCGAGAATGCGCGCGGTGTGTCCACCTTCGGCCTGCCGCGGGCTCCAGTGCCCCGAGGGGTCGCAGGGTCGCGGCGACGAGGCGTTGCACGCGTACTGCACCAGCTCGCCGTCCTCCCCGCACTCCTCGCACGGAACACCTGGCTCCCTGGGGCCCACACGGCAAGGGTGCTCAGCACAGGGCGGGGAAAAGCCAGACCCCGCCGAGGTGTACGGTGGGTGACGACCGCGGGAGATGCGAGTGGGAGCGGGATTTGTGTTCGAGGCGGCGCACGGTGTCACGGGTCGAGAGGTTCTGTGAACCTGTAGTCGAGTGCGAGCGTTTCTCTTGAACAACAACGAAAAAAAATGCGTTGGTGTGGAATGGAATGCGTCCCGAGAGAAGGACGTCCTCCTCCTCCTCCTGGAGCGAGGAAATCAGTTCATATCCAGGTTTTCAGTAAATGTATTAAATGTGAAATTTACCCCCCACTGCCCCCCCAGCCCCCCCCCCCCCCCCCGTTGCTTGCCTTTCAAAAACCTGTCCACTGATGGGGGGCATCCAGCGCAGGCTGAGGAAGTCTGGGCCCTGTTGGTGAACCCGCGGCGCCAGCGGCACGGGCGTGGGACCGGCCTCTTCCCTCCAAGTCTCGTACACCATGTCCAGGTAGCAGTGCATGCGCGCCACCTGGTTCGGCGTGAACGAGCTGGTGCAGTCGTCGTCTGCCCGGCGCATCAAGACGGGCGGGTGGGGGGAGTTTGGGAGTTGGGGTCGGATTTTAGAGGCAGTGGTGTGTAGTTCAGCGGTCAGTGCAGCGCTACGAACTTGGTGACCCGAGTTTCATTCCCGATCACGACCACCAACACCGGTGATGATTATCTGGACTGGTACCTGGGCATCCCCTAGGTCGACTCGGACTCAAATGAGTACCTGGTGCGGTGTGTATAAACGTCGCCACTGGGGAGACAAAGGCGGCTGGGCGTGGTGCTGGGCACCCACCCCATGGTGTGCGATTCTGGCCTTCATAGGTGCTCGCTAACAGCACTTGCCCCAACAGTCTGTTAAGGCTACACGGGGGATATTTGTTGAACGAGGTGGTTAGTTCGCTGGAGTTACGGTCCAGAGGTTGCCTATTCAATCTCAAAGCACATCAGGAATTAAAAACCATTCGTCTCTGAAGAACCACGACGAGGTCATGAGATATCACCGACGTAACACGTGGGGGGTCACGTAAATGTTTCGGAGAATAAATATCGCAGAATGTAAGCTTTTCCTCCATGGTGTAATGGTTAGCGCACTGGACTTGTGATCCAAATGGATCTGGCGTGGGAGTAGAATCACTGGCCAAGTTACTTTAAATCTCCGAATTGTCATCACGTTCATTTCTCGTAAAGGGCCGTCCATAAATGACGTCACGCGATTTTTGACCCCCCCCCCCCTTCGTCACACGGCATCACAAAAAGTCAGACCCCCCCTCAAATATGACGTCACAAAGCTCTGCCCCCCCAAAAAAAATAAAACATGCTTCAAATCGCTTTAAACTATTGTCATTGTAGTGCGTATTTAATGTGACACTGCACTCTGATGTTGTAGGCGAAAACATGTATTAACAAGTCTATTTAATTAAGTAGAACGTGTCGTCCATATTTATTTAAAGTAGCACATTTTTATGTGACGTCACATTTCTCAAACCCACCCCCTCGTCACACATTGTCACAAATGTCTGACCCCTTCCCCCCCTTAGGTGCGTGACGTCATTTATGGACGACCCCTACATTTTTGTCTGCATTTAGTAATTCATTTCATTTGATCTCGTTGCTACATCGCACAGGCGTGATAGGTGGACCCGCAGCTTGGGGAGGTCTTTCATGCAGCAGTGGATTGATCATGCCTGACAATGATCCTGTATTTCATTTGTATGCAGTGATGTCGACCCCGTTAGGGGGTGGTGGGCTCGGGTCTCCCTTGAAAAATAGCATGAAAAATAATGGTCGTGATTCATTTGTTTATTTACGGTGCAATTTTTGGAATGCATTGGCAGTTGGACCTCTTGTCAGCGCTTCCCCCCATCAGACAGGAATCCATGCAGCTGCCAGAGCTGGCGTGAGATCCCAACTCCCGTGTATCACTACAATTACAATTGCGACCACGTTACGATTGTATGTGCATCTAGAAAGTTCAAGATGAAATTTGCCACCTCCTAAATCCAGAGGCACAAACCGCCACCACCCACCAGAAATTTTCCAAAACGGTCACCTTTGCATAATAATGTAAAGCTACCCTATTCTGATGGAACTTCACAAAAAACGTGAACGATAATAGACACGTACAAACGTAGCCCAGATTCCAAAGTATTTTTTTAAATGTCTACTTATGAAAAAAAGTACACTATGTTACTCTTTATATTTGCCAGCATTAGAAGTGCCTGCTTTGAGCCAAGAAGGAATCCTCATTGGGGGAAGAAAAAAACACTCTTCCTGAAGAGAAGTGAAAGTAATACCATGAAAAAATCATCATCATCATCATCAGCAGCAGCCGTGGGCAATAAACTACTGGATACAGGGGTCCCTAAGCCACCGCCATCTCACGATCCTACAAGGTGAAAATCCACCCAGCGCCCGCTGCTCCATCTCCTTAGGATACGTGCTCTCAGACCCCATTCCATTCGCCATGCAGTATACGCTCAGTCTCGAATGACCGAGAATGACTCGGAGGCATGAGGAACCACAGACGAGCGGGAAAGGCGGCCACGCAATGAACCAGCGCCAAGTTTATCATCAAGCTATGCGATCCTCTCTTTATTGAGTTTATACCGGGCCAATTGATGGGTGTTTATACGTGTGGGAGGAAGCCAGAGCACCCGGAGAAAGCCCCACACGTGCGAGCGGGCCAAGGTGGAACGGGTGAGGTCCACATTTTGGTGTTCCCGCCTTCTCCTGGAAAGCCAGGGTAGGGGTATCCCCGGTCGCAACGGCATTCGTTGCGACGACCACCGGACCCGCGATCACAGCTGCGCACAGCCACCGACGGCCCAGCTGTGCCGAGCACGCGGTCGCGCGACGCACCGGCGTAGCTCATGTAGTTGTGGAAGGGGGCGTCGTAGAAGCGCCTCGCTCCGCACATGTCCTTGCTGTCGACCTCGGCGTCCCCGCAGCCCTTGTGGCGCGGCACGGGCGCCGTGTCCTCGCAGAGGTCGCCGGTCTCGAACGACGGCTCGACCTCGAGGCACGGGTCCCCGCAGTGCTCCACCTCCGACACGCCGCGGAAGACGTGATACAGGCCGAGCGCGTGGCCGATCTCGTGGATCATGGTGTGCGTGTGGCCCGGCTTGCCGTAGTACGTCGGGTTGAGCGCCATGCCGCCTGCCGTGGGAGGGAGGCAGGGAGGGAGGGAGGCAGGGAGGGAGGGAGGGAGGGAGGCAGGGAGGGAGGGAGGTGCTCGTCGATGATGACGGAAAGTGTGAATTTTGTCGACTGTCCCCCCGAGACCCCTAAATTATTCTATGGGTCAGGGTTAAAGGTCAATATGAACTAAACTAAACTATTTTAATTTTAGCGAGTAACGCCCACTGAGCTATACAGCTCTTTCTCAGAAGAGACCTGGCCACAAATGATAGTTCAACGAAGTGGCTTATCACGCGGAAATGTATATACTCCAAAATGCATGTTTATTAAATGTGTTGGGAAAAACCGGAGGACCCGGATAAAAATCCACGCAACCACGGGGAGAAAATGTAAACTCCAAATATACAACAGGCGTCAGAGTCGGTATCGAACCCACAACTGCTTGAATACCAGGCGAGGTAGTTAACACCGTGGGGGTGTCACGGTGGCGAGACGTTAAGTAGATAAATGGACCATCTCGAATCTCTTATCTAGGCCCAATTTTCATATTTTTCCAGATTGATGCGACATCCCTACCGCATACCAGCAGAAATGTCGCATTCCCCCGACTGCTTTTCTTCCTACACCTTCTGCAGAGTGAAACCTGCACCTCCCACCCCTCCCGCCCAGCCACCGCACGCACCGCACCGCTCACTTGCTCACTGCTCACCCAGATGCGTGAGGGCATCCTTCTCCCAGGGCCACATGGCGACCCCCGCCAGCACGTCTCCCAGCGACGTGGGGAAGTAGACGTTGAGGTGCGTCGCTCCGTCCAGCCTCAGGGTCTCCTTGAGGTCTTGAACGCTGAGGTAGGCCCTGCGAATCGGCGAGCCACCGAGATCAGCATACGAAGCACTTTTTTTTGTATCTTAGATTGAAAATTCATTTCTTTAGGACTGCTTTTTGTGTTTAGTTTGTCCTTCCCCGCCCGCTCGCCGGCAACTCGGATTAGCACGGTTGGCTACGTACGGTGCGAAAGAAGTTCAGCGTACTGTACATCCACTGTTGCATGCTTTAACAGCAACAAGATGAATCAAAGTCTGAATATGTATTCATTCTGGAGGAATCCGATGAGCTATGAAGCTCTTTTTTTACAGACGTCGCCACGGTTGTAGACAATGCTCTCCGCCCCCTGCAAGATCGAGCATCTGCTGGACACATTGTGTTTAATATTTTGTCGAGAGTCAATCAATCATCGGAGCCGTTCATAAATGACGTCACGCACCTGGGGAGAGGGGGGTTCAGAGATTTGTGACGATTTATGGCGAGGGGGGGGGGGGGTTGAGAAATGTGATGTCACATAAAAATGCGCAACTTTAAAATAAATATAGACAACACGTTCTACTTAATTAAATAGACTTTTTTAATAAATGTTTTCTCCTACAAAATCAGAGTGCAGCGCCACATGAAATACGCACTGCAATGACAATAGTTTAAAGAGATTTGAAGCATGTTTAATTTTCAAAATGGAAATATGTTTTTTTTGGGGGGGGAGGCAGAGCTTTGTGACGTCATATTTGAGGGGGGGGTTCTGACTTTTTGTGACGCCGTGTGACGAGGGGGGGGGGTCAAAACTCGTCAAAAATCGCGTGACGTCATTTATGAACGGTCCCCTATGCAGAGGACTCAAGGTAGGTGGCCTTTGTATCCCGGACCTGAACAGAGGCGGGGATTCAACATCATGAGCGGCTGAGGGATGGCGGTAGTAGAGAAGAATAAGGCAACCTCTCACTGAGAGAAGGTTGGACTGGAGGCTTCGACGGACAGCAAGGCTATAATGTCTGCAATTTGTCATCTTAATAATCATCGTCACTACATTTTAAACAGTAACCTTTCCCACACAATCTTAGAATCGTGCTTTAATTGAGCAAGAGAACGGGTGAAGAGAATGACCCGACAACAGGCAGATCAGAAATATTTTCCTGTAGGGTGAGAGTTGGTCTTTCACTGCAACTAAACAGGCTAACATTGCTTATTGGCGAATCACCTGGCGATGCTGGTGCTGCTGCTTTGCCAGTTGCACCCAGGCAGGAATAAAAAAGCGAAACACATTTACCAATAACACTACCTTAGAAAAAAGGAAACATGTATTGGCAATATTCCAAGCAATGGTCCTTCCACGTAGCACACACAACACGAAGAGATATTTCCCAAACCGTCAGCGATTACGCATATATATATTTGCTTTTAAGGCCGTGTTATTGACGAATATGTTCGGGATTTTTTTTCTTCCCTTTACTCATTGCCAATTGGTTTATCATCTAATAATTAAATAGGATACACGCCTAACGGACGCATCCTGCAAATCCTCCTCGCATGGCTTTCGTTAGACTGTGATTAATATTCGTGAAGGTGGATTTCTGTTCTCATTACAAAAAGCGGTACCGTGTTCTATTATCCACCATTTGGGGGGCAAGCATTGAAATTAAACTTGACGTTTTATTTTCCTGCACCGTTAAATCAAACAACCCATTTACCTCGGTCGCCGGCAAACTTGATTTGGTTTAATTCTGAGCAGCGTGGCAATAAAGCGTCTATTTTTAACACGTCAGACAAATACGGTCAATGTTGTTTAGCGGCAAACCGCGTAAATAAACCCAAATAAAAATTCGTCAACAAATGTTACGTTCACGAGTCCGCTCGGAACAAGTCATCGGCCTGCTAATTTATTTTAACGCCCAATATAATGCTCAGTGTGTTGGTTGTCAATGTTTTTTTTTTTTACGAGCTGGAAAAATGTAGGAAGCAATTTGGAAAAATTGTAAAGCCAAAAACATGTACGGTACTCGTTCACATCGCAGGCGGCGTGTAATTTTAATTTTGAAAACTAAAAAAAAGTATAGACATTAGACGTGTCCCGTGAGTTAAAATAGCGCATTACTAAAATGAACGAAAAAAACACACAGCACAAATGACGCAACCTCAACCTCGCATCTGCAGTGTGGCAAACTGTCTAATCGCCTTCCTCTAAATAGTAGTCTGGGGAGGTTAAACACATCACATTGTAAAGTAAAGTAATTACAGAGGCCGTGATATCAAACATCGTGCGTTCGCATCTTTCATCATGCGTCCCACCCCTCCACCCCTTGCTGCCTCGTGGTCTCGTCGCACCCGCTGCTTAAGGGGCGCCGGGGGAGAAGTCGATGCCGCGCGCTGTCTGGGATTAATAGGGCGCAGCGGCGATCTTAAGCAACGCGCGGGGGCACGGTGCGACGCGTCCTCCATTACGTTGGCTGATACTATTTCAGCCCTCCGGGAGGCCTCACCCCTCCCCACCCCCCGAGCGACGATCCCCCGTCTCTCGCTTATCAGGACGGGGACCCCCAACGGTGCTCGTGAATCAATGCAGCTCATGCTTACTTTGTGTTATGTATAAAATTAGATCGCGTCGAACTCGGACCCATATCTGAAAGAGAGGGCCCTTGCCTATAACATCTGGCAGTCCCCCCCCCAACATTGATTCAAGCAAGCCTCACTCTGCCGATGAGACACACCGTGTGTTGAAACCGGTCCAGAGTTTTCTCGTATCGAAGCAATGCCGCTGAAGCTATGCACTCCGAGAAAAGATCGTGGGGGCCAATGAGTTGCGAAAAGGTCGACTTTCATTTCATTGCAACGGTGAGTCAGACACACAAAAGGAAAAACAGCGGCGATGCGGGCACTCGGGAAGGAAGAGGAGAGAAAAAGGAGCGCTTGAAAGGACAGAGATGAGAATGCTGAGATGGATGTTGGGAATATCTCTAGGCAGGGCTGAATTTCTCACTCGGAACACTGCGAAGCTGACTTAGGCACTACCACAAGAGAACAAAGGTATGCCTATCCATAATCACCTCAAATACTAAGCACACGATGTTTGTTTGCCCCTCACCTTTTAAAACAAGGTCACGATACACGGTTGAAGCAGGACAACCGGATCGCTCGCTCACAGATAAATATTGTGACTCTCGAAACACGCGGTACACGCATGCACAAGAAGAAATACGTGCCGGTTGTCGTTTTTGTAATTCCCATAACTCTTTATTTTATTTTAGAAACTCAATTCACCCTGAACTTTGTTCATTGTGATGGCAACTCGGACGCACGTGTCCTGAGACGTTGATCGAGCTTGTATTGAGGTCCGTACAGAGACGGCGCACCTTCGGAACATTTATTTAGGCCAACAGCTACGGCCGACCCATCGCAATAACAGCGAGCGGCATCATTGAGTGAATACCTCCTTTCGGCCGGGGGGATGGGGGTGGCGGTGGATTAACTTTTGAGAGCTGAGGCCAATTTCAAAAGTAATGGCCGCGAGTGGACTAATTAAGCTGGATGTGCTCAATGAGATCCTTTTTGCAACGCGGCGGCTGCCACGTTAGTAAACAGGAACACTCACCGCGGATCGCGAACCTCGAAAGCAACGCAGATGTTCAGTCGCGGGTGTAGAACAAGCTGCGCGTGTGCCGTGCCTTGTCGCAGCTGCCAGGATGTCTGCGTTTTTGTTTTGTTGGTTTCGTGGTTTACTGGGATGACGGCAACTCCTTAGCGATTTTGTCAATCCACTTTGGGCGCGCGCGTTTTCTCACCACCTCCTCCCGAGACGCCAGGCCGGCATCATCGTCAAGGAAGAGGAGGTCCAAATACCCTGTCGAGGGGCTCTCCACAGCTTCCTCTAGTGGAGGCCCTTGCGTCAGCGGTAGCGTGAGAAAGACATTGCGGTGCTGCCCCTTTGCACTCATAGCTTTTAATCTACCGCTGGATGAAAGCCTCATACACGTGCTGTATAGGTTATAGGCGCAGCGGGGTGGGGGGGGGAAGGTTTATTCTACATTTTCATTTTATTTTTATTTTCATTTTATTTTTATTGTTATTTTTCAATTTTTTCACCTATGTGACTTTACCGAAAGAACCAAACAGTATGGGGGAAAGGTTGTTTGACCATACTTCACCACGCCAATTACTGTACGCGCGGGGGAGGGGGGTAAGTAAAGTGCGGGTACAACCAACTCTTCCACGACATCCAGCCAGTGTGGACTAGTGGGACAAATTCCCTTTGGAGTGGGGGGGCGGAGGGGGGATTGGGCTCTCAGAGAGAGGTGTGACCAAGCAATTGCAGGGCTGCACCTTTGCCTTTAAAAATGAATGCCAAGAGCCCAGGCACGAACATTCATAATAAGGCTGGGGGGGGGGGGGAAGGGGGGAACAGAAATTCCGTGGACAACCGAAGTCCTGACTCGGTGCTCCTGGGCTCTGGAAAGGCCATGTGGTTGGACTCGCTGCCCCATCTCGTGTAGGGACTGTGAGCGGTGGGACGTAGAGGGGAGTTTTTTGTTACGTTGTGAAGGTTAGGCAAAGGGAGGAGGAAGAAAAGTAAAAGGAGTGCGGGGGGGGGGTGGACAACTTTTCTTTAAAAAAAAAATCTTGCAGTATAAAAAACGTATGGCCAGTGGTGAGATCTTTTCTGCTTCGCCTGATATACAGGATCGCATGGGTTCGATCCTGACACTGACGGCTGAATATTTGAAGTTTGCCCGTGGTCGTGTGAATTTTTGCTCCGGGTCCTCCGGTTTTTCCCTTCACATTTCGAGTGAACGCGCGTTCATGTTATTTGGCTGCCGTAAATTTTCAACGTGATGATAAGCCGCTTCGTTAGGCTATCACGTGTGGCCAGGTCGCCTCTGGAAAAGAGCTACATAGCTCCGTGGGCTTTATTTGGTAATATAAAAAATGGTTTCGTAATAATATATATAGGATACGGTCATCGCACCGATTACATTCCATCGCGGGACCCGTGCCGACAACGAGCGCAGGTGACACGGCCAGGGAGGTTCGCGTCCCAGTCACGTGGCCGGCCCGCCCACCGTGACGAAGCCTCACCCAGCGCAGTGCCACGGGGTCAGCGAGTCCAACGAGGTCACGGCTCTCTCATGAACCGGCGAGACAAGGGCGTTTTTTGGCGGTACCAACTGGGATGGTAAATTACTACCGGTAGCAACCGGGGGCAGCGTCTGACCTGGGGAGTGTCCACCAATTGGTAGTGTCCACCGCGGGTAGTGTTTGCCAAGGGCAAGTACGCATGTATGTTGTACGCATGTTGGACTTTTTTCGCACCGTACATAGATAACCGTGGAAGTGTCCACAACGAGCAGAAAAGCTTCGAAAATAAATGTTCTATATGTTTTATAAACAAGCTTCATATTTAGTTTTCATATTCCATAGATGTTTGATTTAATGTTATGAGTTTTTATTTTTAATTTTCTAAATTATATTCTTCATCAAACATACCCTTCTTGGACATTTTTTTCACGCGAAGCTACTGCGGGGAACTTGTTATCACACTTTAGCAAAAACTTTTGCCACCTGCTGTGGTACAAACTGGCCATATTTGGACCATTGGCTCAAGGTAATTGACTGCAAAACATTTCCACGTGATAAGCCACTTCGTTGAGCGATCATTTGTGGCCAGATCACTCCTCAAAAAGAGCTCTATAGCTCAGCGGGCCTTTCCCGGTCAAATAAAAAATAGTTTGTTCTTAGGCGATTCACAGGATGGGCCGGCACACACAAAACAAATATTCGCGAGGGTGGTTCAAAGGTCAGAGGGGTGAACTAGCACCGCCGAGGTGCTGACTTTGAACGCAGGCATCCAGCCGCCTGTAATTAAACCGAGTTTCTAACGGACCCGCCGACTCACATGAGACACCCACAAAAAAAATAGCAAACAAAAAAACCCACAATGCACCTGTGCGGCGAGTCGGGGTCGAAGCACGTCCGCGCAACGTCGGTGATGGCCGGGTCGCAGCAGTCGCCGTTGTCGTAGCGGTAATTTTCGGTGTTGCACTCGGGGTTGCAGCGCCCGTTGGAGGCGCCCCAGCGGCAAGCGGGCGGCCGCTGCGTCAGGCACTCGCCGCCGTCGTAGCCCGTGAGCGTGTGGTTGCACTCGACTTCGCACGCCCCGTTGCCGATCTTGCTTGCCTCGCAGTTCGCCAGCACGACCCGCCGCCGCAGCCACGAGTCGGCCACGTCCTTGACCGTCAGCTCCCAGGTGATGTTGTAGGGCTGGAACGCGGCGTTCAGCTCCTGCGGCGGTTTGGAGGAGGGGGGGGGGGGGGGGTTCGAGAGGTGTGCGATGAGATTTGGGGTGGAATTCATGGATTGTTTGTCCGTAGATGATAAATAACGGATTTCAGATCAAGATAAAAACGTAACTCCCGACCGTGCCTCCATATATAAATAAAACAAGTACACTGTTCTGAATCTACGGACGTATCTGCTATCCAGACCAACATATTCGAGGGAAAATTTGTTTGAATCAGCAGTGCCTGGGCCGGTTTGCACCACCTCCTGGGGCTCACCACTTATGGAGTGGGTATCGGTGGGCTTGGCGTGGCATAGTTGGCATCGACCCTGGTGCAAGGAATGAAATGGGCCTCGCCTCTTCATTGCCAAACATCTGGGCTCCTCCGGCCTGTGGCCTGTTGTGCAGTTGCACCACCTGCACGCCCGGTGGCAATGCCACTGTCAGCGGCAGTAGCATCGCAGGTTGCTAACGAAAGTGTCTCTTTGACCTTGATTGACCTGCGCTGTACCTGCCTGTGACCGAATAACCATAAGTGCACGCGGTCTCGCCATGCCTGAGATGCTAAGGAGAGGCGAGCTTGGATATTACTTGGTTGGGTGACCACTCACCAGGGCTTGCCAGGTGTTGTAGGCATTTGGCTGCGAGATGGGATATGCGGAAACTCGCCCCGTTGTTTCAATTGACACATCGGAAGATGCAATTGAACCTGCGACCTCTGGATTGCAAGTCTGGTGTGCTGACCATTACACGTGGCGAGTAGAAAACGTAGGCAATGTAGATATTACTCGTTGGTTCTTTCGGTAAAGTCACGTATAAAGATAAAAGAATAAATTAAATAATAACATACGACGTTTCGATTGCAACACAAGCAATCATCATCAGGTATAAATGAAATAGCAACAAAAAATGTAACCATAAAACTATAGACAGACATATAAGCAGACAGATATCACCAAGATACATAGAGAGAGAGTAACACAGGCCTATGTATCTTGGTGATATCTATTTAATGTATTATTTTATATTTATACGTGACTTTACCGAAAGAACCAACGAGTAATTCCTGCAGTCACGAAAGCTCCAAATTCAAGATTGAATGTAGATGTTGTTTGCACCCTTGGGCAATGTGAGTCACCAGCCGACATTGCTTGCTTTGTCAACACAACTGTTCGGCCACACATACAGCCATCGCCTGCTTCACCCATTCCGCGGCACTAATGGCCATGCATGGACACGTTGAACTTCTTTCGCACCGTACGTCGCCAACTGTGCTGATCGGAAGTGACGAGATGAAGCGCTTTGTGTGGAAGAGTCGGCGAAGGAAAACGAACGTTTGCGTGGCCAAATGAAGCGAGGAAGGCGACAAGGATAGCTTGACAGACTTGATTAGACGGTCCGCAGGAAAGGATAGCGGAGGAAACAAGAGGTGACTGGGTGGCTTGGGAGTCGGATACCAGGTCAAAACCACTGAGTTGGCGTTGCTGAGATTTCAGATTTGAATCTGGATTTCAGCCACGTGTCATTTGACCTGGTTTTCAATTGCAACGAGTTTATATGCAACTGCACGCGCTTTTTCCTGGATGTGTTGTACGGCTCTCCGATGTGTTTTCGGGTTGTCACCGCTATGTGTTGCTCGTCACGATGTCAGACCTTGCGCTCCACGATTAGCGCAGTTGGCTACGTACGGTGCGAAAGAAGTTCAAAGTATGTACGTACGTACGTTTGATGGCGAGTTTAAACCCATGCACAATTAGGTGGCAACTTAATGATGAGATATGACAATGAAGAAAGGGCAGTCGGGCATTCACACAGCTTTCCATTAGATTTATTTTTTCGAGGTTTCAATGTTTATTCTGATGGAGCAGCACAGATTGTGGAGACGTTAACTCTATTTCGTGGTGATGCAATGATGCATGTGGTGGGAATAAACGTTATAAACCTGATTTGTGTATGTATGTTGAACTCTTTTGCACCCTACGTAGCCTACCGTGCTCATCCGAAGTGCGGGGAAGGACAACAAACTAAACATCAAACGCGATTATAAAGGAATGAGTTTTCAATTTAGATTTTAAAGTGCATAGCTCCAAGTAGCTTCCTAATTAGCAGCCTCTGGAATACTCATTAGGAAGCCACTGTGTATCTGTAAACACAAACAAACGAGCAGAATCTATTATCAACAGGCTACGGTTTCAGTCGAGAGAGAGTGATATTTATTCCAGAATAAAACACTGATTATATCTTGTTTATAACACCCGAGTGGCACGCGGCGACCCTTGACATTTGCGATGCCGCAATCGCAGGGCTAACGTCGTCCCAGTAATAGTCTACGGGGTGAGGCACGGGGCTTAATCCGTTAATTTTTGGTTTCTTTCCAACGCACGCGACCGACTTGCAATGTCAACCATTGCAACATGTAACGCTGTGGCCCCTGATGGAGCAACGTCGCATCGTTAATACGGGCCGGTTGTGTCCTTTGTAAATTCGAAGGTGCGCCCGCTTGATTGTGAAATCGCCGCACAAATTAGCGTGGCCGAAATGGGCATTGGCACATCGGAAGTTATTCGGGCGCTGTTGCTGCATGACCAACGAAGGTCACATCTTTTTGATCTAAGTTTTCCGTCACGTCGCTCGAGAGTACAATTTTAAAGTGATGAAAACGTCAACGTGCGATGCTCCTGAGTTGCTTACAACCCTGAGTTGTTTACAAGCCTGAGTTGTTTACAGACCTGAGTTGGTTGCAGACCTGAGCCAGCGGTGGAAACTCTGTAACAGGGGTGAGTCAATTTCGCAGAACAACCACATCCCCACGGAACTTTATTTAAACCACCTTGCAGGGATGATGTGCTGCATCAACCTCCTGACGGAGAATCGAATTTGAAGCCTCTCGTTCTGCTCCTAGCAAAGTAGTGTCGGTGGTTTAACACGTCCTACCGCTCACCAATCACCACATCACCACCGCATCACCAGCACCACCGTCTCGCCAAAGCCTCACCCACCCGGTGCTGCAGCTGAATCTGCTCCTCCGTCACCGTGGGATTCGACCGGTCATCCTCGTGCACGTTGATCACCCTGTAGCGCACCACCTTGCCGCGCCGCAGCCACCAGTGCCGGTTGTAGCTGCCGATCACCCCCACGTCGTCGCACACCGTCTGCCCGCACGTGGGCGCGAAGAGCACCGGCCCGTCGCTCGGGGTCACGCCGGGGTCGTCGGCCTCCTCCCGCCGCGGGAAGCGGCCGTCCTTCGCCACGGGCTTCCAGCGCTGGCGCAGCTCCTCCACGACGCTCTCGCCCACCACCAGTCCCGGCGGGTCCGCCCCGCACAAGCTGAGCGGGACGCCGGCGCGGATCTCGCCGTGCGTCCGAGCGACGCTCCACAGGCGCGGCGCGGCCACGTAACCGCGGTAGCCGCCCAGGGGGTCCGAGCCGTGGCCGCCGAGGATGAGCGCCTTGCAGCCGACGGCGCGGGGCGAGAAGAGCGGCCCACGCTGCACCAGCCCGCGCGCCACCCGGGCGCCGTCGACGTACAGCGACATGGCCCGCCCGTCGTACGTGGCGGCCACGTGCGTCCAGACAGGCGGGCTCGTAGCGCGTGCGGGCGAACACCGTGGAGGATGAGCGGGCGCGGTCGGTGCGGAGGCTGAAGAAGATGCGAGAGGGGCCGATGCCACCGCTGCCGCCGCTGTCAGCGTGGGACTCGTCCCACGGGGCCAGGCCGAGGGCCCAGCCCTTGTCGGTGGACACGTACGAACACTCGTCAAACATCCCTACAAAACACCGTCGCTTACGGTCACCATCATCGTCGTCAGCAGCAGCAGCAGAAGTAGCAATAATGAACAGCATTGCAACAATGTTAAGCTGACCGTTTGCGAATTCTATTTTGACATACTGTATCCAATTTTTTGTTCTGAATCAAGAGCAGAGACTTTAAAAACTCGGGTGCACAGACTTCAAGTGACCGACACATCCGAGGCATTATTGTAGTTAAACCCAGCTGTGATCGAGGGAGCAAGAGAAAGAGAGAGAGGGCACAGGATAGCGGAGAAGGAGGAGGGAGATAAAGCGAAGCAGGTAGAAAAAACACGGAATTGCTTCAAAATTATTTACAAGACTCACAACCTCCACGCTGGTCCAACTGTTTTCCGGATGTACGTTTGAATGTATAAGTCATTCCACCAGCTTATTGGTGTTCTGGACCGATATTATCCCAACAGCGTTCGTTTAAGTCAGCAAAACACTGGACTGGCTCTGCACGTTCTGGGTCTCGTCAGCAGAGTCAGGCCTCTTATACAAGTGACCATGACTTTGGATCAGTGTTTATGTAAAAAAATATTCCAGTTTTAATGTTGATGACAATGACGACGATGATAGTGACAATGACGTTAGGACTGGGGGATGTGAAGATGATGATGATGATGATGATGACATCAAGGACGGTGGCAATGACAGGGGCGGTGATGAAACAGGAGTTAAGAAAAGTTGTTGCAACTGTGTGCCATTAATTTATTTGCTTACGTTAAAGCCACTCTCTCCACGATGAACTTTCGAAGCGACACGTCAACAGGATTGATGTGTGTCTCCGTGCTTCGAGCTGCCAAACACCCGGCAATGTTTATCTCCCAGGGGCAACTTCTTTGCTCAGAATGTTGTGCTTGTTCCATCTCATATCTGGACGGACCCGTCAACGGCGTCACTTTGTGACATTTGAAACTTTCTTTTAAATTGGATTTCCGAACAATGCAATTTTAACAAAAGGTTAGAATATTCGCTTCAATCAGATACGACGTTCACAGCGAACTAAAGTCATTTTGTAGATGGGGATGGCAAAGTTGTCACTTCGTGACTCTGAAAAAGAGAGACGTTTTGCTGAAGGTACGAGGATAAATAATATTCTGTCTTGCCACTTTCTCGTGCCAGCCTGGAAGCATACTGCCACGCACGTACGATGGGATGTGTGCGTCTCAAGCAGATGCTTTTTTTATGTAAGTGTTACCAGCTTTTATATTCATGTGGGTGGTTAGCGCTATGCTGCGCTACGAACCCGACGATCTGAGCTCGATTCTCGCTCACGGCCAACACGAGTGACGATTATTAGAACCGTGCCGGGGCCTCCCCGAGGTTGACTCAGCCTCAAATTAGTACCCGGTGTGATGTGTAAAACAATTCCACTTGGGAAGGCAAAGGCCGCCGGACGTGGTGCTGGCCACCCACCCCCTCGAGTGCCGTGGTGACCTTCATAGGTGCTCGCTAACAGGACTTTCCCAAGAAGTCTGTTATGGATTGTTGGGGTATGTTCATCTTGTTTCCTTGTGTAGGTCCCCAAACGGGGTGCGGAGTGGTGGTGCAGTGGTTAGCGCACCATACTCGTGTGCTCATTCATTCGCTCGCTTACTCACTCATTCACTCACCCTCTCACTCACTCGATCCCTCACCCACCCATTAACTCGACCTATCACTCACATGCTCGCTCATTTTCTCACTCACCTGCACGCTCACTATATCTGATTATACTGGTAGGAACCTCCTGGTTACACCAGCTCACAAGGGATTATTGTGTCCGTCCGTCCGTCGTGCAGAGAGGGGCTGGGTGGGGAGGGAGGGGCTGGGAGGGGAGGGTGGGGAGGGGCTGGGTGGGGAGGGTGGGGCTGGGTGGGGAGGGTGGGGAGGGGCTGGTTGGGGAGGGTGGGGAGGGGCTGGGTGGGGTGTGTAGGGCTGGGTGGGGGGTGGGAGGGGTGGGGCTGGGTGGGGAGGAGAGGGGCTGGTCACCCCGTGGTGCCCTTATAAAACTCAACGTTTAACCTACTCACGCCGGCTTGTGCCCGCCCTCACAGTCGGGCATATTTGCGGAATACACCACGCCGCCGTTGACCCTGGCCATTGACCGAGCAACCCAACGTTCCTACCAGCTCCCTCCGCAGGAATGTGTTTCTTGTTTTACTCAATGCTGAGTTAAAACTTGGGTTTTTGCAGGCAATACATTGATCGGTATTTGTTTATGGGTTAGGCCACGTGGTGGTAGTTTTATCCCAACATTCTGAGCATTAACCCTCCGCCACCCGACAACATTGTCACGTTTCCAAATATATTATTTCATCAACTTCTGAAGCGATCAGTAGCACCAAAGGAATCAAAACTTTAGTTGCACCAATTCATTAATACGGCTAATAAGAGTGCGGACTACCTGACAACCCTACTAATTTCAAATGATTATCAGCTAATTCACTTGTTGGCCATACGACCACAATGGAACCTCTAAAGTGAAAGCACCTCAGGTGGTTCACACAAGTGAAATGTCCCATCGTCACGGACCACCGCCTTTGAAACTCCGCCCAGAGTTACACCAGCCACGCTGCCACCGTCAAATATTTTGAGTCAAATAAAAAAAACACAACCCTCGTGCAGTATTGATTGGCGAATTGGTTTTCGTAATTGTCAGAGTTTGTTTTATTGTGAAATTCCTTGGGACGCTCTGCGTGAAGTGTGTTGCACGCAAGCAAGTTGCATCGCATTGCATCCATCGCATCCGTACTGTTGTTCAAACACCACGCTGTGGGTCGCGGTCACTTCCCCCCTTTAATCGCGAAGCTTTCCTCCTCTTCGCTGCTCCACTTCGGAATTCCCTCCCGTCCCGTCGACTTCTCTTTCGCAAGTTCTCGCAAAAACCTCGCTCGGTTCAGGAGACGTACAAACCAGACCTTCCTTTCATCCGGAGCTGTCAGTGGGGGGGGGGGAGGGGGGAACTGCGCTCCACAAACAAAAAATATTTCTACGAAAAATTAAGCCCTGGTCTCAACTCTTATCTATTACCCATTCAACGGTGCCGTTCATCGCTGGCCTCTCAGCATTTTGGGCCTTTTGCGGCTGTGCTTGGTAAGCGTAATTCATTTATATATTGATATCCAAAAATGTGAATAAAAGTGTATGGTTTCTCACACCGCGCTCTGCCACTCGCTTGCTCGCTCACTCGCTGCACTGGTTTTCACCGAGCAGCCCGTTAGCAGGGTGATTGATACTGCAGACGCGGTGCGATGCAGCGTGCCTTGTGAGCATTCCACCACCCTTGGCGTCACGCGCCCGCGTGCGCTCGAACGATCGGTCCGCCACCACCCCCACCTCCTCTCAACTCCTCTTTCCAGACAGCAGGGAGAAGGCGGGGAGATATGGGGTAAAGTGGGCTTTGGGGAATAGGCGTAATTTCCCTGCGTTACGTAAGAGATTTACCTAAAGCTAAAAGACATGTGCTTTAAAATAGAGATTTTTTTTTTACGGCGGTTTGACTGCACTGGGCTACGTTGGTTTAAGTTATGTAATCCCAGAACGGCATTTGTGTCTGTGTGTGTGTGAGCACGTGTGAATGTGTGTGCGTGTGTGTGTGTGTGGCTGGATGTGGTACCAGCTACACTAATGCTTTCCACTTGAGCTACTGAAAATGAGTAGATTAAATAGATTAACACGCTCAAATTATAATAAAATAGTTTGCTGTGATGTGATATGGAGGCTTTCATGCCCAATGTTATGATTTATAATTGGTTAGTTTGGGTTAGATTGTGGAGGTACACAGTCAATAGTTTCTAATTATAGCCCTCCAGCACCTGACAGAGCCCGAACAAAATAAGGTTGTTAAACATAGTAAACATTTTGCTTGCTTTTCAACATTGCAATTTGCCAAAAAAACTAATCAATTGACAATCTGATTCGATTGTCCATTTTGGGTGGTTGGAGGGTTAATACCTAAAAATGGACATTGTACCGACACGATCCACAACATTATAACGGCGCATTATGTATTTATTTAATCACGCTTTGGATATATTACCCCGGGCCCAGCATCCTGCCTCCCGAAAGCGTAAAATTGCCCGACCGGTCACATCACAGCCAATCGTGCCGATGACATCACCAAGTCCCGCCCATCACGTTCCGTCCAGCGGCACATTTGGGATTAGGCGCGAGAATCTTTCACTAACAGCCATCCGATTCGTCGAGCAATCACGCCGATCATTGGTAGGCTCACCGATTACTAAAATAATCCGATTTCCCAGCTCTTACTTGCAGCCAATGTCTGGACACATCCAAATTGGCTCACGACGGGTGCTTTCTATCAAGACTTACCCCGACGGTACACAACCAGGATTAGTACTACCCGGTAAACGTTGCCAAGGTTGAGCAAACGTTGGAACGTGATTAAAACCGTTTTGCCCCAACATGTTAACTGGGGAGGGCTGCATTTGTCGTATCGTGTTCGCGAGGCGGCCGGGCGCGGTGCTGGCCACCCATCCCCATCGCGTGCCAGTGTCGGTCTTCATCGGTGCTACTCGCAAACAGCACAAGCCCCAACAGTCTGTTCAGGTCTATGCGGAGGATCTTCGTCTTTCGTCGTTATTTTTAAATCCTTTATATTAAGTTCGCTTGCTTGCTTGCTTGCGTGCTTGCTTGCTTGCTTGCTTACGACCGTGCAAATATTTCGGTCGTTTTTTAACCCACTTCCCGTGATCCAATCGAGCTGACATTTTGCAGCACAGACTCGTTGTGCGAGACAATTAATGTTCGTGAACATTTTTTCCTCAAATTTTACACTGTTTAGGGAAAATAAATTAAATATTTAATTACCAATTGCTTAATACTGGCAGACAATCATCTGACCCATAGGTGGCAGCCATCTCAAGCCAGAGGACGAGAGGACTCTAGCCGCCACGCATATAAAGGATTTAGAGTGAAAAACTTTGTTTTTACGGGTTATACTTATTCCGGGTGACTTTTCGGGAGCGGT